GAATATAGAAAGCTTCCAATTCCTGAATGTCCTATGATATGTATTTTTTTTCAACTTTTTTATTTTTTTTGTTTTGTTTTGAAATCAGTACAAGAAACTGGGTCCTAGAAGCTGCAGTGATCTAAGCAGCAGCAAATTTGTGCATTCATCCTTTTCTTGTTTGTTTGTTTGTTCAAACACGATTAAATTATCACACTGCTGGCACACCTCATTTGCATGAAATTCTGCACCATACATACTAATTGTAGTAAAGTTACACCCCCCACCCAACCCAGGAAAAAAAACTGCTCTGGAGAATAATTTTCACTGAAATCTAACCAAGCTCTGTTAAGTGGACTATGACAAGATTATAAATGATATGAAAAATAACATTTTAACAATTGGCCATCAACTTAAGGAAATGGTTTGCCTATACAAATTTTTAATAATTTTCATAATTTTAATATATTCCAACCTCATATGGTCCTCAGAATTAACCCATAATGAAGAGGAAAGAAAAAAGTAAAGAATGCAACTGAGTGCTAAGGCAGAACATTTTGCCAGAAGTAATGCAGGTAGAGTATATACTAAATATCAAGTGCAGAATTTCATAAGTCCAACAAGATAACAGTCTATATTTCATACTTACACAGGCGAAGTGGATCTTGCAATTACCAGTTGCATTAAATGCACTAAATAAAGCTCCTAAAATTGATACCATAAGGCACCATCTTAAGTTTTCCAGGATGCAACTGTGCATAATTTTTAAATGGTTTTTTATTACTTATTTACTTTTTTAAACATAACACAAAGAAGGTGTGAAAACTGGTGTAATAGCTCAATAGAATAAGTATTTCAGATTTTGGGAGGGATGAAGAGGGAGATATTTAGAACCCTTCACCAGAATCCCCCCAACTTGATCATAGTAGATTCATGATTTGTTTTGTGGATGTGGTTAGTCAATGACACCAGCTTGATGGATCTTTCTTTCTGCACCAAATCCCACTGAGTTATCTGGTCCCCTTGGCTGGAGCCATTAGGCGAGGAGCACTGGCGTCATCCAGGGTAATGTTCTTCAAGCGACTGACCAGCCTATCAGGTCGCAGAGTTGCAACAGCCTTGGGGCCCTCACAGACTCACCAAACATTATAAGCACAGCACTTGCCAGTGCGCTAAGAATCACAGAGAATTCCACCTCATCTCCTGCCTATAGCTCAATGCCATCCTGAACTTCTTTCACATGGAAAAAGAGCTTCTTGCTATCTCCTACTTCATAATTCATGAAGCCAAACTGATCTTTCACACACTCTACTGTGGCCCTATGCAGGGGTGTAATGTTGTAGGCCATAGACTGTGCATTTTGCCCCAGGACACACAACTGGAACTTGACACTTTCCCCTTTCTGCAGGCAATCCCCTTTGTTGGCCATCCCAACTATGCCAGATGGATAGACTTCACCTTTTCTATCCCCTTCCTCCACAATCTCAATCATTCCTTGGTATTCAGTTTGTGTTGGATCAACACTCCTCAAGGGATGAATGACTTTACCAGAGTAGATAGTGGGATCAGCCTCCTCAGTCATGCCATTCACGGAGTGTGTTTTGTTCACTTTTTCTGAACTGACTTTGTTGCCTTTGCCTTTGGGCAAGCTGTACTTGACCATGTCCCCCAGTTCCAGGCTATTGACATCACCAGAGAACTCACTGTAATGGAAAAAGATTTCCTTATCATGATTAGCTGTTTCAATAAATCCAAAATTATCCTTCAGAGTCGCCACATAACCCAAGAGCTCTTGGAGCTGGAATTATGACCTAAAAGTCACACACAAGTTGCAATCTGCTGCCCAGGCCTTTGTCACTAATAGTAAATTCAACCTTATCTCCTATTTGAGGAGAAGTAGATCCTTCTACACCCTTGGCTTGAAAAGCAATAGTCAGCTTCACTCCACAGTCATCATAAGCAATAATACCATCCTCAGCCTCCTTTTCTTTGCCTTTATTTGGGCTAGTGGTTTTAGGATTGGAAAAAATGGCTTCTTTTTCTACAGTGTCCAGAAAACGATGATGTGAATGGGAATGGAATGAAACCATGCCCTTGGGAAGCTTTTTAATCCTAATAGCATGATTCCTTTGGGCAGAGAGCATATCAGGAACCACAGTAAACTCTGCCTCACCTGCAATATGCAGCTGGTTTCCATCCAGAATTTCACTGAAGTGGAAGAACATACGAGCATCACGATCCACACACTTGATGAAACTAAAACCGTCTCTCATGGTGGCAATTACATCCATTTCTCTGGCTTCATTAGTGAACTGAAATGTATTTGATAGAACTTCTATGTTGGTTGCTCGTTCTAATTTGTCATGTCGGTCTGTTGAAATATTAAACTTGACATGGTCACCCTCTAGTAGGGTCACCTTGGATTTTGTATCTTTGTCTCCAAAGGTAAGTTCTTTAGGGATCACAAAGTCAACTTTGATGCATCCTGGCAATGAGTCATTCTGGTTTTTACTGGGTACTTTGGAGATAACTTTGGTCACAGTTCATTCAAAATGTTCAATGCTGGTATCTTCAAAAATAACTGTTCCTTGAGGCAACACTCTCACATCTGTTGCAACTTGTTTACCATTTCTGTCTTTGATTGTGAATTCCACATCATCTCCAGGCTGTAAGGTCTCTAAGTCACCCTTAAATTCACTATAATGAAAGAATATCTCTTTTATAACATCTCCTCTTTCAATAAAGCCAAACGCCTCTTTCATGGCACAAACTACTCCCTGACAACAGGCTTGTTTCTTTTCCAACAGCATTATGTTATGAGCACTTACTGCACCAGTATGTTTATTGTTATCAACTACAAAGTTTATTTTATCTCAGGTTTCCAGCTGAACATTCCCTTCCACAGCCTCAGGGGTGTAAGTCAGATAAAACACTTCTTGTCCATTGACTCATTCCTCAGGAAGGATTTCAGGTTTTATCTTCACCAGTTTAACAGTAATGGGTTTCCCAGTCCACCGGTCAGATGATACTTCAAATTCAACATCATCTCCTCCTTTTAAGTCCTACAGGTTGCCATTATACTGTGAACAGCGGAAGAATAGTCTAGCTTGACATTCTGAACACTGAATAAATCTGTAAGAGGATAGCAGTTTTTCAATAACCCCTGTTTCACGCATTGCTGCTTAAGTACCATTGGGGAACCCATTGTGTTCATTGTTATGAAGAAGGTTTGGATTAAAACTCATCTTGCAGTGATAATCAAATATTGCACTTTCAGTAGTAGTTGCCGATTCTTCTTTTTCAGCATACGTTTCAAGGGATGGAAGTTGCTAGTATTAAAAAAAAGAGAGAGAAAAATCATCTATCAAGGTAATAAAGAATACAACTGCTGCTGCACCCGGCAATCTCACAGTACACCACTGAAGAAAACAAAGACTGCTAGCAGCGTTGGGAAGTGCTCTTTCAAAGCTATTAAGTAGGCACAAACTTCTTGTTTCAGATCAAGTGCTGTGTCTTCAATTTAGGTGTGCTCTTCTTTGGTCTTGTTGGTTGTTTCAATGTTTGTTCCTTGCCTGATCTGAACTTGAAGCAGCAGTTTCAGGTGGTAAAGTCTGTTCTGTTCCACTTCATACCCAACAGCTCAGCGCCCCCTCTCCAGCGCCACCATAAGCAGCACTGGCACCATGATATGTATTTTATCAGCATTTTCCTTTGAAGTGTCTGTCTTCCATATTATGCTTAGAAAAGGCCTTGTCTTTCATGTACATTCATGAACATTTTATTCTAGTATTTTACAAGCATCATTTAAAATATTTTAACATTTTCAAAAAACCAAGATTTGTTTTTGGAATATGATGCTAAATAAGAATTTCACCTTTTTTCCCCAAATAGTGAACTAATTAAGAGTAATTTGTCTAATATTCCAAAATTGTGAAAAGTAGAAAAAGGTCTAGCACAGTACTAATAGAAATATAATGCTAATCTCATGTATAATTTAAAATTGTAGTCCCATTTAAGAAGTAAGAAGTAGGATGAATTTTAATAACAAACTGTATTTAACTGAACATACTCAAAATATTATCATCTCCATGCATAATCAATATTAAAATCATTAATAAAATACTTCACATTCTTTTTATTGTCCTGAATCTTCAAAATGCAGCATATATTTTATATTTAAAGCACATCTCAGTTCACCTCACCACATTTCAACTGCTCAATAGGCACATGCAGCTAGTGGCTTTGGTACTGACTAGCACAGCTTTAGAGCACTGTTTCCTGCCCTCAGCACTCATGACACTTGGGACCTGAGAAGTCTTTGCTGTGGGGGCTGCCCTGTGCATTCTAGGATGATTGGCTGTATCTCTGGCTTCCATCCACTAGATGTCAGTAGTGTCTCTCCCCAACTTGGTGCAACCAAAAACGTCTCAACTTTGACAAATATCCCTGAATGGGGGTAGAGGTAGGTCGAAGTTGTCCCCAGTAAAGAATCAAAGGTCTAGAAAAACTGGGGGGGAAAATGCATGTATGGAGGCAGGGCAAGGAGAAGAGGCAGCAGAAGGGGGTGGTGAGAAAAGGGAAAAAAGGGGGAGAAGAAAAGGGAGGAGGGGGAGGGGAGGGCTGGGTTTTGAGTATACCTTTGGGCTTATTTTGGGCCATAACTCACAGAAGTAATATTGACCCAGCATTGAGCCCATCTTGGTCACTGGCAACAGCAAGTAATTATTTCAAAAACCTTGAGACTCTTGACTTGGAAAGTAAGCTGACGGATGCTTGGGTTGCAACACGCATCAAACAGAGTCTTTGGGCTCGGGGAGTTGGGAGCACCTGGCATTGCTCAACCTGAGAACGGTTTACTGCAAAGAACAGCATTTAATATCAGGACTGATGAGCAACAGACCTCCACCCAGCTAATCTCTTCCAACTTCTACCAACCAGGACCTTGGTAACTGGAAGTCTCAATTGTAATGTTTTTAAAGTATTTAGCTTTTTTATATATAAAAAAGGAAAGGAAATCAAAATTATAGTACAAATTTATTCACAGAAGGAAAGAAAGAAAGGGGGAAAAGGGGGGAACTCAATCAGGAGCACATCTTGGACTACTTACATATTCATCATAATCATATTCACTGAGATTTACAAGTGTCTCTACCATTTTCAGAATGTTGACCATTAGATAATTAAAGATCATGAATCTTCAAAAATAGCTTATGATTTCATTCTACTTCATAGTTTAAGTCTCTAAACAACAAGAGTAAAATCAGAAAGGTTTCTGGGTGCCCCTTGGTTAATGAGAACATTAAACTAACCAGGAGCTTCTGCTCGGAAGTGTTCCAGCTCATCAGGATTCACTCTAACTGGCTTAGCTCATTGGAAGATGTGGAGAGTCTAGCTGCTAGGCGTCTACACTAGGTATCCTGGGTATAGCAGGCAACAACCTGGTTACTTCCAAGTGTCTTCCCATGGACAGTTGGCACTACCGATATAGGAGGAATCTTTCCAGTGGCTCTGGAAGATGTAGTTTGTGGATGGTTTGATGACATGCTCGACCCAAGCATTTCCGAACACACAGGCGGCAGAGCTGGGACAGAGCAGGGGGTCCTGAGGAAGAAATAAAAATGGTATGAAACTCATGGTAGTCAGGTGGGGGGTGAAGCGGAGACCAGAGGACTGGAAAAGGCTGAAACTTTCTAAAAGTTCATAATAAGAAGCTGGCTCTGTATAGGAATTATGGAGCCAGGTAGCAGACACTAAATACACACAAGGCCTCCCAGTTGGCACCCCGTGGGACAGGGATGTTTCCTTAAGTTGATCCTCCAATGGTAATTGTATTACTGATATTAAGGAAGGAGGCTGCCCAGAGTCAAGTTACAGATGATGTGTGGAGTCTAAAGGAAGTTCATTCACGTACTACGTGGGCCAGTGACTGTGGCAGGCTGGCCAAGGAGCAAGCAAAAATGGCAACACGAGCACACAGGACCTGAAGACAGAGGTTCGGAGCAAGGGATGACTGCCGAGCAAGTGTCAGCAGGCAGCCCGGCGTGTGGGGTCGCAGGTGCAGGGTTACATGTGGAAGGCGCCTGACACTCGAGCGTCAGGGCCCTCCTGGACCTCCTTGCTCTAGGAGCCCAAGGTGGTGCTGGCTGGGTCCTGACTCACACTCGGAGGGCTCCCCCATTCCCACACGGATTGGAGATCAACAGAGGATCCAGAGAAAGGACGCAAGTCACTGAGACCCCCATGATACCCTGAACCTCAGTCTCACGGAGTCTTACGGAGTCCTCACACCCAAGGCTGAAGGAGAGTGAACTACCGAATGAAGAGTCCAAAATATGATTGCTACGATGGTGTCCTTTTGGCTGGAACACTAGTTATCCAGGGGCATTTGTAATGTCCCATTATTTCCTAACCTGACTGTGTTGATGATGATCCTTTCCAGCAGATCTATGTAATTACTGGACTATGCAAGTTTCTCTTTTCAAAAAAACCCTCCTGTCACAGCATCTTGCACCCCATGAGAAATGTGAACAGCATATGCAAACAGCTGGAGGACACTCAGGTTGTTGTTGCCCAGGAGCATCCATGGGACAGAAAACTACCTGGATGAGCAATAGCCCTTAGTTAACATCTTCGGAAGCAGGAATGGGAAGCATCTCTACCCATCACCCAGTTAAAGCTCCCCTGGAAAACAGTAACATGGGCAAACTACCCAGTTTGCCTAGAGAAGTTCAGATACCACAGTGCTCAACCTTCTAGAGCAAGCAGCTGTATTTATGAAGCAGAAGACAGAGGAACTTGCTTACAAGAAATATAAATCCTGGACCCGGAAACATTTTTGAAAGAAGAAAATAAGAAACATGACAACTGCTATAAACCATTTTCTCAGCCCAGAGCTGGGAAGTACCCGGTATTTCCAAACTGGGACCTGCAAGGAAGATCATATTCTGCAAGTAGCGATTCCAATGAAAGAACAGTCATTAACGACACAGGCTACTGGAAATAATCTAGACCAATGGTGGTTCTCCAAGTGTGGCCTCAGACCAGTGGTGGCAGCATCTCCTGGGAGCCCAGGGCATGAGCTTCTGACCCAGGATCTGCCTTTTAATGCCATCCCCAGGTGACCCTTATGCCTGCTAAAGGTTAAGAAGTGTTCACCTATAAAGGTTTATAGTTCACCTAAACTATATTCCTAAAACTACTGAACCAAGCACTCCACTTGGAAGGTATGTAAGATGTGGGGGTGGTTTCACAAAATAGAACTGGTGAGTCAGATAAAATCCTCCCCGCTAGTAACAGTTTCAGAAGACTCGGGCTTGAGGCATTACAACATTAAGAGTGCACGTTCAGGGGTCAGACTGTTTGGTCAGAATCCTAATTCTACTTCCTTAGTAGCCGTGTGACCTTCTGCAAGCCAATCTCTTTATGCTTCTCTGTTCCCATTTGCAGCTGGGATAGCATCAATTACTATAAAGTTCTTGCTGCATTAAAGTTTTAAGAATTCAGTGAGATTAATCAATGTTTCAAATTCAGCTCAGGGCCTGATACATGTAAAGCTGAATAATTAACAGTCTCCAAAGCATACAAGTGATCAATAGTATAGGCTCAGATAATGTTCTCTTTCTGTATGGCCATAGCATGGTTCTTGCATCTGGACTACACGGCATTTCAGAGACCTGCCTTCCCTTCTCTGGCATGTGCAGTCACATTGGCCCATGCTGGAAATGGGAGTGAGGCAACGAGGAACACACACTCACCTGCTCCCTCATCTGCACAACTGGCAAAGTCCAGTGTTGAAAATGCATGCTCTGTGCCTGCCCCATGTTCTCTAATTCAAGTATTTCTAATTTCCCCTAAATTGCCTACAAGTATTACAAAGGCACAGAGTTCTGGTCTGCTCGGTGGTGTGCTCAAGGCAGGATAGGCCTGGTGGCTCCACCTTTTCATGCTGAAAACCAAGTTCTCTGATTACTTTCTTGTTACGGAAAATGAGAAACAATTCTCTTCTGTTATAAGGGAATACATACAACATATAAAGTCCCCCCTCGGTAATGCGAGGACTTGCAGCTTCCCACAGGCCACTCCCAGTTAAAAAGAGAAAAGGAGAAAGGTAAGACAACTGAGAGGCGAGGCGGGAAGGAGAGCGCAGATGTGCTTATGGGAGAGAAATGGACACCCGGCCCTTCCTTACCTTCCCGGAGCAGGAGCGCCTGCTCCACGCTGCTCTTCGGAGCCGCCAGGTCAAGGGCACTCTTGCCCTGAGCATTCCTGCTCTTCAGGTTCGCCCCATAGTCTGACAGCAGGTGGATGACTTCTGCACTGGACTGCCTCGCAGCGGCATGGAGCGGGGTGTCCAGCCACTGGCCGTGCTCAACACTGGCTCCTTAACAAAGCAGATGACCACAGTTCAAAACTACATGTTAATATAGAAGTACAGTGAGCCTGGAATACAGTAGCTATAGGTAAAGACATTGTAAATGCTATGACATATTGGACAGATCTCTGAAAATATGACTTAAGCCTAGAACCTCAGCAATGCCTACAAAAGACAGTCTCACAATATTTTGGTGACAAATGAGAAAAAAATATATCTTTAGTCATTTAAATACTTTGCTTTCTTCCCCTTATGAACTGTATGAAAAACAAAATTAAAGATTTTATCTCCTTTTCGATAGTTATTTTGTCTTTTGGCAAAAGATAGAGCTAAGTTTATTTAGTATTTATATTATTCTGGACTCAAAAAAAGATTTCTGAACTGCTATACAGAGTAGTAGTAAATGATGGGGGATAAAATAGGCAAAAAAATAAAATTTCTTATTTAAAGTTCTTACTGTAATTTCCACCTTTATGTCAGTGGCTAAGTTTAGGGAACTTGAACAAAATAAAAGTTTCAGAACATTCTGACTTTTTCCTAGACTCTCTCAGTTTCTTTATATTCCTTTCAGAGCTAAAAGAAATTACTAACTACTTGGCAGGATTGATCTAAAGTAGTCTCTGGCAGATATTTGTTGTTTTTACTATCCAGTATCTTCCTGGTAAACACACCTTGAGGCCCCTCTGGGGAGCCATCCCCTGTTCATGAGTTATCAGCATAGACTGAAATCTAGGCCTAAGCCAATCAGTGCATTGCATTCCCTTGGCCACCATGACTGAGTCGGAGATGGGCATGTGACTCAAAAAGAACCAATGAAATATAATTTTTCCCCTCCTAAGACTTGAGGGAAAGACTCTTGCTCTTTCTTGAGACCACCAAGGGGAACCATATCAGGTAAAGGGAGCCAAATTCCAAGGACACGGAACTGAGAAATATAGACACTCATCTCTCTGCGGAAGTTCATCAAATGCTGAACTTTGTCAGAATTTTGTCTAGCCTGACAAGAGCTTCATCTTTGAAGCCATGGAAAGCCAACAAGGTTAACAGGTGCTTCTCATGAAAAGATATCTGGAAGTTACCTAATTCTAGAAGTTTCTTCACACAGTCTACCCTCTGGTAGATGCAGGCCACATAGAGGGGTGTTCCAAGCTGAGGTACTTCTTGGTCAATGTTAGCGTTATTTGCCAACAGAATCTCCATGCACTCTCTATGACCTGGGGGAACACAAGATAACCTCACTCAAGTAAAGGAAACATTGACTAGTCACAGAATTACAGGATTGCTTATCTGGAATGGGCTTTAGAAATCACCTAGATTCTTTTTCTTTTTTAAGCAGGAAAATTTTTTTGGTTATCTTAGACATCTCCAAAATAAAACCACTAAAAAGGAACATGCCCATGGTTCCCCCACTTAAATTCCTCTTTGCGGCCCACAAGATACCTCCAACCAAAGGGCACCATGGAGTGCAGCTGAAATCGCTCACTAGAATGAACCCTACCTGTTTACAAATAAAGGCTCCAAGATCCACAGGGTCAAATGACTGATTCTATTATTACTGTAAAAAGCCAGTTCTCAAAGGCAAAGCCCAGGCCTGACCCCTCTCCATTACAAATCTCTCATTCTCTTCTTCTGCCATGCATGTAAGGTTGGGTCTATGGCCACACCATGCAGTAGGCCTCCTTATTTTGGTTAACCTGGAAGACACCTGTGAGAATTAATAAAAAGTCTCAAGTATAAAATATATTTAAATGTACTTTCAAGTTTAGTGGCTAACAAGAACTAGGTAAGCAAGCATTGTCCTTAAGAGTTTCCAATGAATAGACACGATTAATTTGCAACATATGAATGATTTGTTCAGGGGCAAATTCTTCTGAGATATTGACAGAAACTTGTAAAGAGTTTGTGTTCTCTTTGATGATGTAAATGTTTCCTTAAAACAATCTTATCATCACTGACTAACTTAACCAACCTTTTCTTTATAGACAACATAAAAGTAAGTAAGCTTCATTTCAAACTGATTTATCACAAATTCTGAAATAATGTATAATTATGCATCAAAATGTACAAATGAGGGTTCTGTGGATTCAAACTATCTGTTCACATAAGTAAATATTATACCTGGATTATAACATCAATATGTCACAGTATTGACTCAAACTGACCCAGCTTGTTCATAGAAGTTTAAGCTATAAGAATCCAGAAATAATATCTAATCAGTATCAAAAAATGGCAAACAGGGGACTCTCTTGTCCCCTCCTGGCCTGAGCCAGGAGCTCTGTCCTTTCACTTTATCTCTAAATAAAAGCCTCTCCCTGGCTCTCCTACCTTGAGTGTTCACGAAGTTCATTCTTTGACTCCGCGAACAAGAACCCCAGCACCATTTTGGGGGGCTCATCCAGGATAACTTCAGAGATGGGAGCATCCTCTTCAAGTTTAAAGCCAGACACACCTCTGGCATGCATTTTAAAGAGTTGGGAGCAATTTAAGCCCCAAACCCTGAAAAAGAAGTACCTTATCTTCTGCATATAAGCCTGGCCTCAATACAAACTCTGATTAGAGAGGCTTGGCCCCTGAGAGAAGTATACAATATAATAAGGTTATGCAGCTAACTTTATTTTGCCACAAGGAAGGAAAATGGTCAAAAGTCCTATGGGCTACTACAATATAAAACTGGTTTTCTAAATCCTTTTATTGGAAATCTATTCTACTTATTGGGTTCATCATTATCCTCAAAAATTGGGAGGTTTTTAAACTAGACTCCCTGAGACAGAAATTAATCTTCTGTAATACAGCTGGCTTAAATCTTTCAAAAGAAAAGAATGCTTAAAGGGAGGCTTGACTTTGTCAGGTTTAGTGAAGGTTTTGTAAGTAATCTAGCATGGTTGTTAAGAATGAGTGAACTAAGTAAGTGTAGTAACTGAACTTCTTGGCTGCAAGGATGTTGGATTAAAAATATCCCACATTCTGCAAAATTCCCAAGCCTCCAACATCAATGGACTAGGAGTGTTTTTCATTGGTATGGTCACTTAGCTTCCATTTTTATAGCATCTCTTGGTTTAGAAGATATAATTTGGCATATCAAACCCTTAACCAATTTTACTCAAAAGGCCTTAAATGATACTATCCAAGGAATAGTTCTCCTAAATACTAAAGTTAAACTAATGTGCCAAGCAGTTACACAAAATAGAATGGCACTAGACATCTTAACAGAAGGACAGGGTGGGACCTGTGCTATAATTAAAGTTGTATATTGTGTGTATATTCCAAATTATTCACGAAATGTCTCTGATTCACTCCAGGACCTCCAAAAGCAAGTCCAAGCTACATCAGGCCCAGAAGTCCCATACAGTACTACAATATGGAGCTGGTTTTCTAAATACTTTTGAAGCCATAAAACTGTAAATGGTGATGGAAATGGGATCCAAGATAGAAGTGCCCATCTTCGGAGGCCCTCTCAACTGACCAGTGATGGAGACCTAGCTGTACCCTTTACTGTGAACCCCTCTCAGCAGGAAGCAGCCAGAGTGGTTGTTGCCCACTTTCCCTAGCGGCAGCTAGGGTCTCCATCTGTAGAGCGGGGAATGAGACAGGGACCATGGGCTTAGATAGAGTAGAGTGACGGCCTCTGGAAAGAACAAAGCAAGACAATCCATTGTGGGATTTGCTTTGGCTGCTGGGGGGCCCAGCTTGTTTTTCTGACTTTACCCCGGCACTGCTTTTCTTCCTCCAGCCCTAAACAAATGATTTGCAACTTGGGCAATGTAGCAAGCAACCCCAAACAACATAGGAAAAACAGGAAGGATTCCATCTTGAAAATAAGATTGCATCTTAAAACCCAGTTAGTTAAAAAGTAGCTTTCTTGACAAACAGACAGTAACTCAGCCCACCTTGGGAGCAAAGCAGGCAGTCTTGAGTGATATGCTCCCAGACCAGGAAGCTGCTATCCTGGGAGGAAATCAGAGCAGTAAAATTCTTATAAATAACCAGAAAGACTAATAAGAAACTTAATGTCTCTTCAAAGATAAACATTTAGAGACCATCTGGTGGATCTGCATCCCTAGCCCTTTGTCTCTCAACCACCTATGAAACCCCTGGACAACGCACCACCACGGGGCTCTCTTGTCCCTCCTGGCCTGAGCCAGGAGCTCTGTCCTCTTGCTTTCTCTTTAAATAAAAGCCTCTGCCTGGCTCTCCTAAAAAAAATAATAACAATAATAATGGCAAATATAGGGTATCTAATAAACATTTTTGAAAATTCTTATCCTTTTTCTTTTTTTTTTTTACAGAACAAACTGAGCCTAGTTTGAGTAAAATTTAAGTATTCTCAGGAAGTTTCTAAAAAAGAAATATATAAAAGTCAAATGATTAGCACTAATTTAACAGCATCTAAAATGTCAAATTTACTATTTATTCTTCCTTTCTGTAGACACAGGTCCCTAACATGCTTTCATATACAAAAAAAAAAAAAAATACGTGGAGACACATGAATCCATTTGTTTACAATAAGCACATATATAGATATTCTTATAACAGACACTCCATATATAACTACCTAAGCACTGGGGAATTACTTAAGTGATTTCAAACCATTCCCATTTTTAAATATTTGGATGGAAATTCAAATAATAGATTGATTTTACTTAAAATGAATTGTTTTTAATTTTAAGACTTTCATATCATTTCTGAAGTAGAGTATTTCCCTACAACTTCAAGGACTTACTTAAAGTTTGAGAAATGAGCAACATGAGTTATTAATCAAAACATGTTTATTAAATATGTATAGAACATCAAAATGATAGAGAGTTAGGTCTTTAGAATCATTTAAAGCAATCCATTGCAAAAATATATTACCAAGTAACATGTTTAATAAATTGGGGGAAATCTTCCAGTATTATCTTTTGAAATAAAGACTTGTATCCCCAATTTTACCAGCAAGATCACTGTTTCAGAGTGTTTTACCTTTTCTGTTGTATTTCTGATCTCAATATAAGAGAATAACTCCACCGCTGGGTGACACAGAAATGTTGCTCTTTAGGTGTGGCCTTTAAAAAATGGCCTTGGCCTTTCAATGGCATCTTCTTGTTCATGTCTCGTGTATGCACAGAGTTTTTAAATTCCTTAATTTTAGTCTTTTCTCTCATTTCAGAAGTAAGTGAGAATGTAGGAGTCTAAAGTCAACATCAAGGTTTCCAATGTCATGCTTTTTAAAGTTGCAACTTTTTTTTCAATAACTAATGACCTTGAAGTCATCAGCTCATCTAGAGTTTATTGCTTGTTGTGGACAGTTAGGTTCGATCTTCCGTTAGAGATAACCAGACACTTGCATAATTTATTTTATGTTAGTGGTTAGCTTTTATGGGCCTTGGGTGGTGAGCTGTTCTTTTCTAGTCAGGACAGAACCATAAGAACAGCGCAACTCGTGGAAGTCACCCCTGCCGTCCTGACTCCATGAGCTGCCACCAAGACACCAGCAAAGAGCCTCAAGAAAGGCCTGCCAAGAGACTATCCCCAGGAAGCAGGACACCTGACACACAACCCCAGTCCCAGGTTATGAGAAGAGCTGGTTCATGCCCATAGTGGTATTTCCTGAAGATTTACGCAAACTGAACTTACTGCTGTGGGATTCCTATGCCACACATGGTCTACTGGTAAAGAAGACCTGGGTGATCCTCGCCTGGTGATCACTGTACCACTGATTCCTGCAGACTGGAGTGAGCCCACCAGTGTTTTGTGTGCACTGTGATGGCCTATTTACCTCTTTTCACTGCCTCATGGATGGGTGAAGCCAGGTGCACCTCAAGCTGGGACTTGGCTCCAAACTCCAAGAGCACGTTGACACAAGCAGCGCTGCCGCTGCAACAAGCATTGAAGAGAGGCGTGGCGCCGTGGACGGTCACTCCATTGACCTAGGGAAGGGCAAAGAGAGACCCAGAGGGTTTGCTGTTCCTCTCTGGCTATCTTCAAGTCAATTCCTGCACATCGGCCTGGAGAAAGTCCCCATGCTGGTGAACGGGGAAGCAGGGGATTTCTAAATCCTTACAGGATTATGTCTTACAGGTATCAACAGTTTATCAACTCTCACCTATAAAGAATATCACAAGTGGGTAAAATGGAATGCTTTAAAAATGAATTCATGGGTATTCTAGAGCCTCTCAGGAGCCTTCTAATTGTTGAGGGGTGGTCCTATATGGTGGTTAAGAACATGGCCTCTGGAATTATTAGCTTGGTTCAAAGTCCAGCTCTTTCTCTTGTATTTGCTCGGAGATCCTGGTTGGGATACTAACTTTCTGTGCCTCAGTTTCTATCTGCAAAATGAGGATTATAAAGGGATCTACCTCATGAGGTCACTGGGCAGATCAAGTGAGTTTAAGCCATGTGAAATGCTTAGAATGCTGCCCGGTGCCCAGTGAGCATTCATAAACATTGGCAACAACATTTCCATTAATATGGAGCTAACCTCCCCTCCCAATCAAGAACAAGCATGGCAGGAACTAAAAGGACTACAGAAAGCAGCTGGTGCCAAGCCCCAAAAATCTCCTCGGCAGTTCCCCACTGTTCTCTGTATCTTGGCACAGATTTCCTTTCTGGTCTACAATAACCCATACAAATTGCACATGCCAGCAGTGACCCCTGAAAAGATCGCAACCAAGCCAAAGGCGCAAAGAAAACAGCCATCAACATGGTATCTCCAACCAGCCTCAGTGCCTTCTAGGCATGTGGGAGACACGTGAGAACTAGCACGGCTTGGGGTGTCTCTGAGTGTCAGCAGTGGATTAGGAAGAACACCATCTGGGCGCCAAGGCATTCTGGCGGGGGGTACCGGCTCTGACAGGACCAAAGTGTAGGACAAGGAGGGCTTTGATGGCAAACCATTTGTCTCAACAACTGTGACAATCAGGATCTTCAATTTTCTTGTTTCAGAAACAAAAAAGATATTTCCCCACAGTGCTAGGAATGCCCCCATCAAACTGGAAAGTTAAAGATGAGATGCTACAATGGGAGAGACAGGCCAAGGACAGGGAGAAATGTGTATAATTCATACACTCCAGGGGGTTCTAACCCATTTACATTTTTACTGAGAAATATTTGGTGGAACTGGTTTGATTTGTTTTCACTAAGTATCACCTTATCCTCAGTCCAGTAAGTCTTCTCATTTGATTCCCTGTAAGCTTCTCTCTCAGTTTTTGGGTCAGTGAACATTTATTGAGCACCTACTAGGTGCCAATGTTTTGGAAATAAAGGCATGTAAGACAATTGCCTCTCCTTGAATAGCCTGGATTCTATCAGGGAAGACAAGCACAAAGAGTTCATTTTGCTACAATATTAAATGTTTTAGATTCTGATAGGAGCAGGACAAAGGAGAACATAGACTTGAGAAACATTTAGGATGTGGTGATTAGATGGGGACGTGGAAGAAACAGGATGATCCCAGGCTTGGAACTTGAGAAACCAGGAGTATGTTTCACTTGGCCTCTGAGGCTGGACTCCAAGAGGAACTGGTCCCAGAGGGAAGAACTGGGTAAGCACAGGTTTGAATGCATTCTGAAAATCCATTTCCTCTTACTCCTGTTTTGACTTACATGTTAAATAATATAATATTGACTATTCCCTTGTAAGATTGCTGAAGACAAGGGACCACATCTTAGTCTGTTCTTTGCTCTGCACAAAACCTCTAGGCCCTGCTATTGTCTGATACTCGCCACCAGCAGTCTGCCTGTGACTCCAGTCATCTAGTTTGAAAGGAAATGGCCCTCAGCCAACCTTGCCCTCATCATTACATGGGAGCTGACTAAGTGATAACTTCAAGCAGCACTTCTGAATGGAAATACCTGGGCACTACGGCATCCTGAAAATCACTTGGCCCAAAGAAGACTTCTGTGTTCAGGTCTACATGTAGAAACCCAACTTCCATATAAAATGCAAAGAAAACCTTCGTTAAGCACTTAGAAACATTCCAGCTCAGGAAGGAACAAAATAGCAGCAGACTCACAGACTCCAAGAAGGGACTAGTGGTTACCAAAGGGGAGGGGTGTGAGAGGGTGGGTGGGGAGGGAGGGAGAAGGGGATTGAGGGGTATTATGATTGGTACACATGGTATTGGGGGGATCATGGGGAAGACAGTGTAACACAGAGAAGACAAGTAGTAACTCTGTGGCATCTTACTACACTGATGGACAGTGACTGCATTGGGGTATGGAGGGGACTTGATAATATGGGTGAATGCAGTAACCACAATGCTTTTCATGTAAAACCTTCACAAGAGCGTATATCAATGACACCTTAATAAAAAAAAATTACAGCTCAGGAAACAATGAATGCAAGGACTGAGTTAAAAAAAATTAGCAACAAAACAGTATCTGGCAACTAAATAAATATCATTGAGATTTTCAAAACTTTCAATTGTAGAATTCTTTTTTGATATTTGTATTATATAGAGACTCAGTCACTCCTTGAGAAAAGATAGAATTTGAAAATACAATAAAATTCATTTTGCAGTTTGTTTTCAATATATTACTTACTAAAAGCTCATTTAGTTGGATAATTTTACTCAGGAATAGAATATGAAAATACGATAAAGTTCATTTTGCAGTTTGTTTTCAATATATTACTTACTAAAAGCTCATTTAGTTGGATAATTTTCCTCAGGAATAATAGTTGTTGGCTTGGCATGTAGAATTAAGAGTGCTTTTTGTGGTTGCTTTTAAAATAGGTTCTTACTGAAAAGATGGCGGCATGAGAGAAGAGACAGAGGCTTCCTCCTAAAACCATATACAGTTAGAAAATATAGTTGGTGCAACTAATCCTGACAGGCACCAGACTGCATACACCTGGAGAAAAGAGCAGACCTCACCAAGCAGGGTAACGTACCAAAGCTGTGGCTCAGCAGGACCCGAGCCCTTCCCTGACCCCAGCTCACTGGCAGGAGGAAGAGAAACTGAGCAGGGAGGGAGTGGAAGGCTTGGGACTTCTGAATACCTAGCTCCAGAGAGCTGCGCTGGGAGCACAACCCTACATTTCATGGTGCTTTCCTCATACTCTTCTGATTATGGGGTTGGAAAGCTGGGACAGGCGGAATTCCTGGGGAGACTGGGATTCCAGCCACTTGTGGAAAGCAGGGATCCATATCCGGCTGCTCTGGGACAAAAGCTTATATCTGTGTGCTCGGCCCACTAGTTCAGGCAGTGGAGACAGGCACAGCAGCCCGGAAGCAGGAACAGCTCTTTCCTCCCCCCAGGCACCAATACCGCTCCCTTGTGACCCCTGACATTGCTTCAGGGACTGAGCAGCTCCAGAATAGAGCTTCTGGACACTAGAGGGCACCATATACGAAGATGAAACGCCAAAGAAACCTGGTCCAGAGTAAAATTATTAATACAACTCCCAAGAAAGATTTAAATGATATGGACCTCGTGACTCTTCCTGAAAGGGAGTTCACAATAAAAATCATCAACATGCTAATGGAGGTACGGAAAGACATCCAAGAACTCAGGAATGAATTCAGGTTGGAGATCCAATTGTTGAAGAGCAAGATGGAGGGTATTAAAAGCAGGTTGGATACAGTGGAGGAGACAATAAATGAAATAGAAACCAGAGAAGAAGAATACAAAGAAGCTAAGGCATAGAGAGAAAAAAGGATCTCTAAGAATGAAAGAATATTGAGAGAACTGTGTGACCAATCCAAATGGAACAATATTTGCATTATAGGGATACCAGAAGAAGAAGAGAGAGAGAAAGGGATAGAAAGTGTCCTTGAGGAGGTAGTTGCTGAAAACTTCCCCAATCTGGCCTCTCAGGCCATGGAGATCCACAGATCTCCCAACACAAAAGACCCAAGGAAGACAACACCAAGCCACATAGTAATTAAAATGGGAAAGATCAAGGATAAGGACAGACTGTTAAAAGCAGCCAGAGACAGAAATAAGATCACATACAAAGGAAAGCCCATCAGGCTAACATCAGACTTCTCAGCAGAAACCTTACAGGCCAGAAGGGAGTGTCATGATGTATTAAATGCAATGAAGCAGAAGGGCCTGGAACCAAGATTACTTTATCTGGTAAGATTATCATTTAAATTTGAAGGAGGGATTAAACAATTTCCAGTAAGCAAAACCTGAGAGAATTTACCTCCCACAAACCATCTCTACAGTCTATTTTGGAGGGACTGCTATAGATGGAAGTGTTCCTAAGGTTAAATAGCTGTCACCAGAGGTAATAAGACCACAGTAAAATAGGTTCTTACTAATGTTTTACAATAAATTTTCCAAGATCAGTTTTCAAATTACTTTAGTTCAAGTTGATTTTTTTTAAAGGCAGCATCAAAATTGTGAAAGCTTCCTGTGAATTCCCTCATCTGGATGTTCACACGTGGGCACAGAGGCTGCATGGAGAGGAGTAACTAGCCATTCAGGATGTGGATGCAGATTGGGCCAGGCCTGCGCACTTCTGGTGAGCCCACCCTCAGGGGTCACGTCTCTTTAAGGGTTAGCACTCGCCCTGGGCAGACTGAGTTGGGGGACAAGGGTGGGACTCACGTGTGCTCCCTTTTCCAATAAGGCTTTAGCGCAGGCCACATGACCTCCAAGGCATGCCTCGTGGAGAGCAGAGACCCGGTTAATTGTCACGAGGTTCACATTGACACCCTACAGTTTGGAGAGAAGTGGGTTAAAGGCGACATTCCAGTAGCAATGAAAGCAACACTGTCACACACGTTTCTGAAGTGCTCTGGGCCTGTGGGCATTACATAGAGGAGTGGGGGCTGTGACCTGGGGCTGCTTAGACAAGGCGAGGGAGTCTTGAATTCATTTATTCACAAAGTCTTATTCAGCATTCTGGGTCAGGCATTGTGCTCATGTCTGTGGGGTCTTTAAAGCTTATGACGTGGGTCTCTGTCCTCCAAGAGTCTAGTGGGGAGACAGAAATGGGGGGGAAACCAACAAGGGTATCACTACACCGGAAGCATGTTCAAATTTCAGTTGGGAGCATGGGGTACCCTCAAATCTGGCTTGGGGAGTAAGAGGAAACTTTGCAAATGAGGTCACATTTAGCTAAAACTTGAAGCATAAAAAATCTCACGCTACAAGGCAAAAAAATGAGTACTCCATCAGGAGGGAACAGAACATGCAAATGCAGGAAGCCAGGAGAGTGTGGCCACAGCTGGAGAGTTGCTATTTCTGGATCAGAAGGAGCCCACACATGACAGAGGCAGGAGAAAGGTGAAGTAGATGGGGGAGAGGAAGGTCAGTGAGCTGGAGCCAGATGGTGAAAGGCCTTGGTTTCCAAACAGGGGTGCATGTCTTCTAGGGGATGAGGTGCCTTTCAAGTCTGTGAGGCTGTGGATGGTGTGGAGCGAACAGCTTAGGCCCTTGAGGTAAAGCACACCAGTAGCGGAATAGAAGATTGCTTCAAGAGGTAGGGGTGGAAGGAAGAAGAACCCTGAAGATGTGGTGATGAGTCCAGGCCCAGGATGGCGTGGGCCTGCTGTGGGCGTGAACCGCAGTGAGTGTAAGGAGCAGGCAGCAGAGTTCAGGGGGTGGAACTGGATCTGGAAGAGAAGGACAGCTCCACGCTTAAGAGCAGAAAGTAGGTGGTACTCCTAGGACTCATCTGCCACAGCAGCAGCGCCTGCCTGCCACTGCACCAGTGTGGGGAAGTCTCTGCAGTGCAGGGGCTGGGGATGGAAAACAGGGTGCGCCCCCACCAACCCTTACCTCCTTATCCAGGTAGAGCACCTCTGTCCAGTCCTAGCACATTCCCCCTCCCCATAATACCCTGCTCCACCTTGGAGTCCAGGTGACAGATGACAAGATCAGCCAAGATGCTATGCCCTGATTTTAACAACCTAGCCCTTAACATTTCCCCCCATGATTACCACCTCCTGTCTGTGAAAAGAATCAGGTCCCTGCCAGGTCCAAGCTGAGTTCTGCTTTTGATTCTCTGCCTCATAACTGACCTGTTGAAAGCCTAGTGCATGACCCTGAACCCCAAAGCCCAACCTAAGTCCCCACGGTCTCCTGCCAGAGACTTCAGCGGGGCTGGCTGATCCCTGCTGTGACTAGCAGCTGGGCCCGCCCACCAGTGCTTGTCCCCTCACCTGGGGCCTCTCTTCGCTTCCTTGGTGCTACCTCATGTCCTGAGTGTGACATTATGACTCTAGAGCTGTGCTACATATTTCAAATTGGGTATCTAATACAATCAGAAAAGTCTTTTCCTTTCCCTATATATCATTTCCTTTTGAGAAAATAAGAAAAACAGGCCAGTCCACAAGGTGGCAGCCATGTGCCAGAAAAAAACTGATCCCCTGCAAACTCGCAGGATCCCTGGACTTGTACAAATGCAATGCTGGGCAGGCCTGAAAGAACATCTAGGATGAATCACCTTCACTGTGCATGAGGAAATGGAGAAACAGAAAGTTCCAGTTCTGAAGGAGGCTGGAGGCCACCCAGCTGTCAGTGACAGCCAGCCCAGTCAGGAGCTCCTGGATCCTTAGTTTAATGTTTTACACCACCACACTGTCTGTGAGATAAAGTACAAAATGAAGTAGAATAATACATTTTTCACTAGTGTGTAAGGGTAAAGAAGTGGGATGTACTCGGAAAAAGTTAACTCTGAAAAATGCTCCTTACATAGTAGGAAAACTTGTGCAATCCCAACAGTCGGTGGTTTAGTGTGTCTTGCACCAATGTTAAATTCTTATTTTTGACTACCATCATTATGTAAGATATTCACATTAGGGGAAGCTGGGTGAAGGTATAGGACCTCTGCACTGCACTGTCTTTGCAACTCTTCTTTAAAATTATTCCGAAATAAAAAGTTTCTTTAAAAACACAAATAGAAGTATTGAGGTGGTGTGGTGGGGGTGGGGGGGCAGTGAGAGGGAGAAGGTAGACGGAAGAGTTTTCACTACGTACCTTTTTATACAGTTAATTTTTGAACTATGTGACTATATTACCTATTGATAACAATTAAATCACATCAAATTTTAAGTGCTTAAAAATAAACAAGTGCTAAAATCAAGCAGAGTCCATCTGGTAATTCCTGGCAGTACTGCCTTCCTTTTGCTTCTACTTTTAAAGTCACATAACTCATAAAAGAAAAAGAAAAAAAAGGCACACACACAGAGCAATGCACCCAGCTGTTCAAATGCAAAATGGTAAGGAAGCCAGGTTCGGTGGGAGCTAGCATGGGGGACACGCCTGATGACTTGCTTCCTCTGAACACGCACAGACTCTAAAACAAAGTCAATGGAGTGGGTCTGCTTTCTTCCATTTCACAAATATTTACTAGGCTGCTACTCACTATTCAAGGTACTAGGGATAGTCATAAATAAAAATAAAGTATATTTAATAACTAAGACTTTAATAAGCCTTCCTAAAGGAGTAAGATTTACCTGTCAACCTATTGTAATGTTTGCTCTTGAAACAGTGTACCATCAGGGAGGGCAGCCTCTAAGAGGGCTCCTGGTGGCTTGAGTCCTGGCGTTGGCTCACTGTGCGATCCCCTCCGCTTGAGGGTGGGCTGGATTTACTGCCTCGCATCTAGTGAACAGATTGCATCAGAAGTGATGGGATGTCACCTTAGGAGGTCAGGTTATAGTAAGAGTCCCTTCTTAGGCACTCCCTCATGCCCTCTGGAAAGCCATCTGCCATCTCCTGACGCAGCTCTACAGAGAGGCCCATGTGGCAAGGAACCGAAGAGAGCCAGCAAGCTCATGAGTGAGGTTGGAAGCAGATCGTCCCCTCAGTGGAGCCGTGAGATGACTGCAGCCCTGGCTGCTTCTCAGCTGCCTGTGAGAGACTCAGAGCCAGAACCACCCACCAAGCTGCTCCTTGGCCCACAGAAACCGTGAGAATCTAAGTGTTTGTTTTCAGCCATTATATTTTGAGGCAATTTGTTATGCAGTGATAGCTGATTAATGCAATGTCAGGGCTGTTGTTACTAAAGCACACTGGGAGAATACAAGGTGAACTAGTGCAACATAAATTTGAGAGCATCCCCCACCCCTCACAGGGGAACTTCCTATGAGGTAAAGGAAGGTCCTGGAAGGGAAGGAAGGAACTGGGCAGAAAATGAGCCAGATTCCCAACAAAGGTGAGCCAGGAGGAACAAATGATGACCTATGAGAGGATACGGACACCGAGACGGGCCATGCTGGGACCCGGATGGGACAAGCAAGACTTCTGCTACAAAGCTAACAAAGAATGACACTTGATACAGCATAAGCACAGGGCAGCAAGTCTGCGGTTTCCTTACCTGTGCAATTAAAGTTTTAAGGGTCAGTAAGCGTCCCTGGGCCGCAGCTTCATGAAGTGGGGATCGATCAGCCCAGCAATCTGAAACATAAATCAAGTTCAGAGTCAAGGTCTGGAGTCTTCTTGCACAGCTCAGTCATGCTGCCCACCCACTGTGAAAGGAGGTTGGGGAAGAAGAGGGAAACATGTCCACAGCAGGCTCTTTCATCAGCCACTTTCACGGTGACAAGCCACTGAGGGTACAGTCCATTTCTTTGGTGGTGTGTGTGGAGGGAGCACAGCCCATCTCTCTGGCTTTCTGAGACAGCTTTAATAACCAACAGATTGAGTTCAAATAAATACGGCTCCGTGCTTGAATCCAAGAGCTCTAAATAAGGCAAAGTGAAGGGCCCCGCTGGTCAATGGGCTTGCCTGCTCCCATCATCTTCCTGCCTCTCCGCCTCTCTTGAGCCCTAGGAGTCAGCAGCCTACACACCGTGAAGGAGACACTTGTGGATCAGGGCAAATGGATTTGCTCTCAATTCCCCAGGTAATTGTGTCTGTTTCGTTTTGGCAGTGAGGCATATCTATTACTATAATGCAGATGTCATTTTTCAGTTGGCACAGTCCCCCCAAAGTTTCTGTGGGCAGTTGAGCATGATGGCTAAGCATGGAGCCAGTGGGGCCCCACCGCACGGGTTCAAGTCCTAACTCAACCCCTTTCTGCCAAGATGGGCAAGTTACTGAAATTACCTGAACTTCAGTTTCCTGATCTATAAAATGGAAGCATAGTAACCTAGCATTTAGCAAGTGCTTTGGTTTCTAAACAGACCAATAATAACATATCTGTAATGTTAGGCACTCAAGCAACTTCTGTTTAAGTACACACAGTAGGACAGCCCTCTAAGGAACAGCCTCAGCAAACATATTTTTCTTGTAGTTGCTTGTCAGAAAAGAAGACTAACTGCTTACATGGACATGTGAGAAGTAACCCTCTGCTGAACATGCCAAATGACAATCATTTGTTTTGAAAGAAAACCCACTGCAGTTTGCAAAATGGTGGCATTCACACTGTAACTGTGCTCTTCACACACTGACTAGCACGTGATCCAGTTTGGATTTAACGCAAAGAACCCATCTTACCAACATTTTCTAAGTAAGCCTGATGGTGTTAAGAATTCAAGTTTTCCTATACCTGCAACTTTGGCAGAAACAATCCCACCCAAGCGGAATTACGTGAATTTGAACCTGCTCGAGGCCTCAAGGAACGAACTTTCTAAGAGATGATAAGCAGGACTGTCAACATTTCAGTAAGCCCTCTTCTTGTATCAAAACTCAGTTTTTATCTTCTCTAATCCTTTGGGAAATGAAGGTAGGGTGAACTCTACAAGACTGGATTGAAATTGGAGCATTCGGTGCAAAAATGTGATTTTCAATATCTGTGTGTATACATATGTGCATGAGAAGCACAGTGCGCGAGAAAACGTAAACCAGGACTTCTTGGACAAATGGCTGATTCTAGGGCTGGGCCAGCACAGTATAACATGGCCCTCAAACACCTTGCCAGACAGTAAGGCAGTGCTGAAGGAAGGACGGCTTGGAGAGACTTCCACTGGTCAACTATGGGACTATTTGAGCATCAAAATAAATATAAATAGTAAGAGATTATACCTTTCACCAAATAAAGTAGGAATCTTTAAGTCCTCACTGATATAAATGAATATGTAAATAGTGAGGAGAGGAAGATCTTCCTTACAGCAGAACACCAACTTCAAAATATAGAATAAATAATAGAATCTGACTCAAATTATCTCTTCACAAAATAATTGCTATCTATAAAGGGCACAGGGGTAATTTTACAGAAGAACGAAACTCTAAAAACAACCTTACAGAAGAACAAAACTGTAAGAACACCACCTTGCCCAAGGGATCAAAGTTAACATCAGGAGTGACAGAACCAACTGGCCCAGTGCGCCATCTGATGGGACACGAAGAGTGACATCACGTACTGTTGGGCAGAATGCAATGAAAAGGACACACCATCGCTTATGTGATAATCCTGCTCAAAACGCACAGCCTGAATCTAATCATGAGGCCCTGTGAACCAATTCAAACCGAGGGGCCTTGTACAAAGTAACTCACCTCTACCCAGTTCAAGGACGGACTGAGGAATGGCTCTAGATCAAAGGCGGCTGACAGGAGACACCACCTAAAGGCAACCTGTGCACCTGGATTGGACCCTTTTGCTGGTCAGTACATATTAGGACACTTGGGTAAACATGAATGGGGGCTCTGGGCAAAGAGAACTGGGAATTCTTTGTACCACTCTTGCTACTTTTCTGTCATTTTGAAATTAGTTCCAAAATAAACAAGTTTGTGTGTGCGTGTAATTGCTGGTGTTTTCATATTCCTATATGAATGTGTAATGCATTTACAATAAGGAAAATGATAAAAGCTTTAACATGGTAATATATTGTGTCTGTATCTCCACTTGTTTCTCAGTCAGTTACACATTGATGAGTGGAGTATTTTTAAATCTCTTGGGACATTTCTAATTTGCCTAAACTGGGAATAATGAGAGAATGTATACATATAATCCTCAATCCTCAATTACTCAGCCTTGGTTTTCTTCTACTACATTCCCATCTCATTCAATGTGAACTATGCATCAGACATGTTGCCCTCCTGCCTAGTGGCTCTTGGAAATGCACGCTGGCACTGGCGGCTAGGAGGAAAGCCTTCCCCCATGGATGGCAACTCAGCCCCCTGACCAAAGTAAGAAGTCAACACACAGCCATCATTTCATTATCTTGTTCCAACGATAGCCAGTCATCCCGAGTCACCTGAAGGTATAGAAGTATTTGATTCAAAAATAAGAACAAGATTAAAGTGATCACTTGTTACTACCAGATGGCACAGTCCCCCCAAAGTTTCTGTGGGCAGTTGAGCATGATGGCTCAACTTCAAATATCAACATGAAATGACTTTATTCTTTCTTAAAGCTTGCCTCCAAGTGGGCTGCAGTGGCTCCTTGCCTTCTGGCAAGCAGGAATTTAACCACATCTTCATCCTATTTCTACTAACTTGCTGTTACTCATCAGTCCCAGAAGACCCACTCTGTACACACAACTGACAGAGCTCACACACCTAATGCTGAGTGAAGGAAGCCAGACACCAAAGAGCGTGTTCGTGTGATCTTTTTCTACAAAGTGCAAAAGGGGCCAAATTCACCTTTGGTGTGAGGAATCACAGGAACCCCGAGGAGGGGCAGGGCTTAGGGAAGAGGTATGGTGGGGGCCATGCTGATCTTAGGCAGTGTCTCGCTCTTGGGAGCTGGCACCTGATGGTTTGCTTGTGAAAATCCATCCAGCTGTTCACTTTGGATCTGTGCACTTGTCTGTACTTACATCACACTAAAATAAAGAGATTAAAAACAACCAGGCTACTGGTCAGTCCACTTTAAAACTGTAATCTCCGTTCCTCTGCCCACTTCTGGGAGGGTATGGCTCTCTCCGCCACCTGTACAGCTGGAGGCAGAAGAGCAGTGCGTTCTCACACGCCCCCAACTCCTTCTTCTAGGGTCCGGCCCCTCTGGTGCCTTGGTGGTGGGGAGAACAGAGAGAGAGAGAAGATATCTCCCAGCTAACTGGAAGAGGCCAGTCCTGCTCACTCAGCCTCTACTGATGGCCTCAATCCTGGTCGGTGGCCTTGCCCTTCCAACCACACCAGGGGTCACTGGCATTTGGCCACCTCTCCCGGTGTCCCATCAATGCAGCACCCTCTTGGTGCCCCCAACTCCCACCCCATGCTTCAGAGGTCACAGCAAGACTATGGGGCCACCTCCCAATCCAACAAGAAAGAGGGAGTAATGGGTTGCCCTGGGCTTCTTTTTCCTTAGTGAGTAGCACAGGGGGCACTCCGGTGAGTTGTGTAAGCAGATTTCCAACTGGAGTCAAACACCAGGCTCCCCTCCTTTCAGGCACCCCTTATCTCAATTGCCTTTCTCCTAGAGCCCCCCGCCCCTGCTCTTCAGCAGAGAAGGGAAGAGCCTTGTTTCCTGGCCAGAACACCCCACAAGGCATGACAACCCCTTTACCCCAAAGGAAGAGCTCTTACTTCTACCAGGTGGCAGAAATAGGGCTGAATCCAAGATTTCGGCATTTCAGAGCATGCCATGTTATGGTTTTAAGAAATGGTGTTTAACTTCTGCCCATCCTCCTGGTAGATTTACTTGTCTGGGATGCTCTGCTATAGGAACTTTCTCTCTAGAAATAGCATGAAACAAGTGAATCGTATCGCCTTAAATGCAGAAATCCTTTTTGTTTCCCAACTGGAAACAAACCACTCTCAAGGAAGTCACCTTTCCAGTCACATTAGTTTTCCAGCACTTGCGTCAAAGGACCTTGATGAGTTTTCCCACAAAACCCTTTTCCAGCAACTCTTCCGGGCAGGGTGGAGGGTCTCTCCTCTTTTTCTATTCTTATTCCCAACACACCATCTCCCCCTCTGATCACTGTTTTCCAAATTGGAGCTAATTGTGAGAAATTAGGGATAAAAGTTATTTGGCAGCTAGGGAGTTTTTCCATTCCTTTCAGGAAATATGCAGCCAAGCTCTCCAAATAAATGAATGCATAAGTAGGAATCAACCACTCTCTTCGAAGGCAGTCTATTTTTGGTTATTTGGCAGACTGCCTGTGTCACAGGGCTGCAAGCATGTTATAAAGATAATTTACTCTACAAATATATTTGCTTGTTCCTGATGAGGTGTACGGAAAATGTTCAAGTACTTTTTCATTCCCGCTTTGACTTTTTCTCAGAATGTGATTTCTATCTCTAGTTCTCAGATTCTTTGAATAACAAGTTCATGACAACTTGTAGAACCATAGATTTCAATAACAGTATTGGTTCAGATGGAATACAGCTATCTGAGTTCCAAGTGTTCAAGATAAAAACCAATTCTTAGTTTGAATTTTTTTTTTTGCAATTTTTACTCTTCCTAATTCCAGCAAGTATTTGAGATTGGTTTACTATTTTAAAAACACTAACTGGTTATAACCTATTTATGAAATTTCCAAAATCATATGAAGCAATGTCTTCCCCTGTAGCACTTACCAAAGAAAATTCAAAAGGAATTTTAATTGTGAACCAAAATATAGACAAGAGTCTAGTAGAATTAATGATATCTGAAGTAAAACAAAGGTAATTGGAAAAAAACATAAATTTCCTGAGGTATCTAAAATACTATAATAAAATTCGGTTAAAATGCATATTCTCCAGAACACTCAGTTCTGTCAGGAGATGAACCATGGTCACTGAACACCTTTGTGTGGTGTGTTACAAAGAAGGTTCCTTTGAACCCATTAAGAGCAAGAGACCTGAGCTGAAGGTGACAGATAGGGGGGCAGAGCCCCCGTTGAGGACTGGTTGCCCCCACTTGGGAAAGCCAGCAGGCCCCTGGGATATGTAACCACTGAGGATGGTTGGGCCAAAGCTTGAGGAGACAACAGCAACACTGAACAAGCCTAGATGGCTGGGTGGAGGCCAGGAAAATCCTGTCAGAAGGGGAAGGATAAGAAAAAGGAGTCAGGACGAGGGGTGAGGCAGGGGTGTGGCCAGCAAGGCAAGGTCAGTCTTTCGAATTTAGAACAGGCACAACTGATTTTAAGTATAACATTTAATTTGAACTAATCTTTTAGATTTAGATTAAAATAGCAATTTTTTTTCAAAGAAAGGGTACAATAATTCCATAATCTCTTATGTGCAATTATAAAATCTCCCAACTTCTGAAAACCAAGTTTTTCCCCTAGTTTGATGCAAATACCATGGTCAGGACTCAAATTAGCAAGTTATTCTTTTTAATTTGTATTTTCATTTAGTGTTCGTATGTTCACTACAGAAATATCAAAGTGTTTGATCATGGGAGGCCCCGAGGCCCTGCTGCGTGTGCTGTGTAGTGTTCAGTATATACACCGAGTAATCTTCTAGTATCCCCAAAATTCCTGACTCCTGAACACCTCTGGCCCAAGAGTTGTGAAAGCAGATTAACAGCCTGTATCTACACTTTATTTGTATCAAGTTTGATGACCAAGCCCCTGTATTAAATATACCTGTAATTCTGGCCAAATTAGCAAAGGTTGAAAATCATACACCACACCTCTCAGGAAAGTGACAACACCTGCAGAAATATATATGGGCTAAAGGTGGGATTGGTGAGCCTGAGGGAATACGAGGGCCAATGGCAATGTTTCAAACTTAAAAATATATGTATATTATTGGCAAATTACAAACAAAGAGCTTGAAAAATCAAAACTAGTAACAAGCAAACATAGCTTAACTCGATTCTGATGAGTCACCTACAGATGTAATAATTTAAGTCACAAAGATGTATCAAATGAGGTATTCCAGAAGATGAAATTCCAGAATATAAAACAGTTTTTTCCAGAAGATTTAACAGCCAAAAATGTGATGAGGGATTTGACGCTAAGTGCAGCTTCCAAGAGAAAGAGTGCCAGGACCTATGACAGGCCAAACTCTGCCCTGGCTGAGCTTTTCACTGCCCTCCCCTTGTTTTTGACAGCGCTGATGATAGTTTACAGGAATATAATATGCTATTGGAATCAAGAAATTTAACCTTGAGCCGAGACTTTTCGAAGTCAGTTAGCTAACTTACTGATGAAATGTCACATATTTTCCCAACAAACATGTGTCTGACCAATGAGCCACAGAGTAATTTCTGGTTTGAGTTGAACACTTGCACAAAACATTGTTTTTGATTTTTAATCACATCTAGCTTCACGTATATAGCATCTGCCTGCCTTCAGTGTAAAAAGAAAAAAAACACTGCTAGGATCATGTAAAAACCGCTGTTTTAGGCATTTCACTGCCTACATTATCACAGAAAGCCTTATTTACCAAATCCGGATATACCCTCTATTATGGATACGTGTGTATACACACACAACACACAGCCATCCACCCACATATATTATTATGAAGGAAATTAAGCTGAGAGATTATCAGGCACTATTCTCCCCTCACCCCAACCTTTTGTTAATGAAAATCAAAAAATACATTTTTCGCTTTATAACATCAGGCTACTTGCAAATTAAATGAATATTATCCTAGGAGCTTAAACAAGTGAAGATATTTGAGCTAAGGGATGAATAAGGTCTATTTTAAGAGATTTGTATTATGGTTCCAGACATAAATTCAAAGCATGCTTACGTGAGTTTTGACAATTATAAAACCTTTTTAGGAGTGTGCTTAATTAAGGACCACCAGGACAGGAATCAGGCACACCAGCAAGAGGAGAAAACACCTTAAACACGCACATGGCAATATGCACTTTGTTGGACTTCACCTAATTTAAATCATGAGGATGATCTATCCGTGGGAACATCAAAACTCTGTTACTCAAACTTTTAGAAAGCCCTCGCCTAGATTTACAAATTAATAATTTTATTTATCACTTTCTTATTATTTCCTAACATTTGAAAGTAGCATTTCAGATCATAATTAATTTGAAACCAAAGCGAGACGTTTTGTTAAACTAGTCTAAGCAACGTACCTCCCTGAAATGTGTGACAAATGTAATCCCCAAAAGAAACCTCTTTCCACACTCCAGGCCTTCTGACAGTTCCTGAAACTTCAAGATTCTTCTTATTTTCCCCAGTTAATTGAAGCATGTTAATGCCTTGTCTTTGGATAAGGCTGCTGTTATCTGTCTTCAAAGTTGTCTAGTATATTGGAATCACACAGCATAAATCTATGTTGAAACAGAATCCTGGATGCAAATTGAAATGGATACTAGATTAAGAATGATGTAATCCTGGAAGGCCTATGAAACACTAAAAATACATAAGAGAAATTCTGAACTGTTTATGGATAAATACTCCTCTATTGAGTGGCAATCCCAGCAATGACAAGGGTATCTGATTTACTTCTTAGTATCTCACTACAATTAAGGAGAATTATTTCTTGAAAGAAATGGAGACTAAATCTGACAAAGCATGAGTCTTTAAAATGTTTTACCCAAATGTCAGCATTTCATATAATAACCTTGGTTTGCAGTGATTTGCATATAAATGGGTTTAGTGATGGCTTCTTCCTGACAGTGGCAAGTACATAATGATAACTACAAATGACAGCATGAAAATATATACAGCATGCCACTTTGCTGCTTTAAGTCAAATTTATTGATCACTCTATTTGCTGAAGAAACTTAGTCTTGTTAGAATGCATTGTTAAAGTGTGATTAAAAATAGTAAATAAAACAATTCTATCTAAGTATTATTTTGGCTAGTAGAAAAGAGGTTTCTCAAAATACGTTTAGAAAGTCACAACTCTATTTACTTTTTAAATGATAACTGCTAATAGAACTAACTTGCAAAAAATAAAGTTGAAAAAACCCTTCACACATTGGCGCACTCAACACCATTTGCTACTTTAAATAATGACTTTTAAAAACTACCCATTCAAAGCCAAAGTATAAATGAAATCTACCTCCTAGAAATATTATTCGTATACATTACCTAGGAGGTTTTTTTAGATATTGGGAACAAAGTCATATATTTTTTTTACCTGCAATTCCACCATAGATCTCTTCTGCTATTCTAGCTGCTTCTTTTCTATTTCCTTTGACGATATAGAAATGAGTTAGGAGAGCCAAAAAAACTTTAATTAGAAGCTTGAAGAAAAAAAACGTAGCAAACATTGTAATAAAAATGTTTTTAAAGCCATAGGAAACAGGACCATCTTCCATTTTGGCTTCCACTCTGTATAGGTTCTTGGGACTGCAAAATTTCACTGAGTGGTAATTGGCATCATATGACATCTATTTTAAACCTTGTAGCCCTCAGTACTCCTGTTACGGAGAACTCAGTTTGTAGATTTGGCCACTGCATGTGCTGACATTCGTAGCAATGTTAAATTAACTAAAGAAACTTCCTTCTAGACCTATATTTCCCAGTGCTATTTAACAAAGAGGATTCATATCCAAACCTTTTTTTATTCCTACATTCCAATTTTTGCTACATTATGTTGGAAGGCAGGACTGGAAAGATAAACTTAGATCCCATGGGGACAAAGCAAGTTATCTGAAGTCATGCAAAGAAATGCAAATACATCCTAGGCCCGTGTTGGTAAATACTAACCCCGCAACATTTCGTTTTCTCTTAATTCTGAGGTTTATGGGAGATAAAAGGCAAAATCTAAAATAGGGTCAGTTAAAAAAAAGACCATTTACTCTAAGGCAATATTTAGTAAAAGGCCCATCCTGGATGCCTCTCCAAGTGAAGTGTCAGACTGGAAGCATTAACCACTTGCTGAAGGTTTCGTTCATGACAAGGTACCCTAAAAAAGCTCCTAATCACTCAATCCCCATTTCAAGTGTCAGTAAAGGTGTTGACTCTTTCTGGAAAACATGAGCTATCCTTGACTATGAAAGAGTTATAATGAAATGGATGAAGATGCGCAAGTTCTGGGCTGCATGATGTACACAAAGATTCTATGAATCAATACCCTCCTTTGTTGGGCAATATTCTCTTATAACCCTACCTGTCCAACATGCATCAGCTGGCTAATATAAATGAAATTGATTTATTTTTCATTTTCCTCACGTAGGAAAATTAGGTGAGGAAAATCTAGGTCTCCTCTTTCTTTCTTGGCTGTATTATTACATTTTCTAAATTTCCACAACCTAGTAGAAAAGGCAAGCCGAAATAAAATTTTAAGAGCAGACCAAATAAATCAGACTTAATAAATGCTTTACACAAAAATGTGGGAGTTTCTCATGGCATTCAGGCAAATTAGAATGACTACCTATGTAAGAACTGATTCCCTGTACTCTGTTAAAAGGCTGGTGCTAGACAATACAGCCTTGAGTCACAACATACAACACATTCCTTTTAGTGTACCACAGCACTATAAAGATTGTGTTGTTTCCACTCTCAAGAACAGATAACAGATAGGGTTGGATTACCTGGTAGAGTGCCAATGTATGAAAATACATGGATGAACACAAGTATTTTTGTTCTTTCCATGTCTCCTTCTTCAACTGTACAGGCACACCTCTGAGATATTGTGGGTTTGGTTCCAGACCACTGCAATAAAGTGAGTCAAATGAATTTTTTGGTTTCCCAGTGTCTATGTAAGTCGTTTACAGTATACCGCAGTCTACTAAAGTAAGCAATAACATTGTCTTAAAAAAAAATGTACATACCTTAACTAAAAGATGTTTTATTGCTAAAAACTGCTAACCATCATCCAAGCTTTCAGTCGTAATCTGTTTGCTGGTATATGGTCTTGCCTCAATATTGACGGCTGCTGACTGATCAGAGTGGGGGTTGCTGAAGGTTGGGGAGGTTGTGACAATTTCTTATAATAAGACAACAATGAAATTGGCTGCATGGATGAACTGTTCATGAACGATTTCTCTGTAGCATGTGGTGGTCTTTGATAGCATTTTACACACAGTAGAACTTATTTAAAAATTGGAATCAATCCTCTCAAATCCTGCTGCTGCTTCATCAACTAAGTTGATGTAATATTCTAAATCCTTTGTTATTTCAACAGTCTTCACAGCATCTTCACCAGGAGTAGATTCCATCTCAAGAAACCAGTTTCTTTGCTCATCCATAAGAAGCAACTCCTCATCCATTCAAGTTTGGATCATGAGCTGCAGCAATTCAAGTACATCTCTAGGCTCCACTTCTAGCTCTAGCTCTCGGCTATTTCTACCACCTCTGCAGCTACTTCCTCCACTGAAGTCTTGAACCCCTCAGAGTCATACACGACAGTTGAAATCAGTTTCTTCCAAACTCCCGTGAATGTTGGTACTTTAACCTCTTCCCATGAAATCACAAATGTTCTTAATGGCATCTAGAATGGTGAATCCTTTCCAGAAGGCTTTCAATTAACTTTGCCCAAATCTGTCAGAGGAATCTCTATCTGTGGCAGCTATAGCCGTACAAAATATACAATTGATTTTTGAATAATGTGGGGGTTGGGGTCATTGAGTCCCTGTAGTTAAAAAATCCACCTATAGTTAAAAATCCACATTTTTGACTCTCAAAAAACTTAACAAGAGTCTACTGTTGACTGGAAGCCTTACTGATAACATAGTTAATTAACACATATTTTGTATATGTATTATATACTGTATTCTTTACAACAGACTACAGAAAATTTTTTCAGATTTTTGTGTATCTCCAAAATTTTTTCCAATATGTTTATTGAAAATAACCACATATAACATATACGTGGACCAGCACATTTCAAACCCATGTCGTTCAAGGGTCAACTGTATTTCTTAAATATTAGCACTTCAAAGTTGAAATGACTCCTTGATCCATGGGCTGCAGAATAAAGGTCATGGTAGCCGGCACAGAAACATTAATCTCCTTGTCCATCTCCATCAGAGTTCTTGGGGGACTAGGTGAATTGTCAATGGGCAGTCATATTTTGAAAAGAATCTTTTTTTCTGAGCAGTAGGTCTCAACAGTGGGCTTAAAGTAGTCAGTAAAACACGCTATAAACAGCTGTGCTGTCATCCAGGCTCTGCTGTTCCATTTCTAGAGTGCAGGCAGAGTAGTTTAGCAACATTCTTAAAGGCCCCAGGATTTCTGGAATGGTCAATGAGCACTGGCTTTGACCAAAGCCACCAGCCTCATTTGCCCCTAACAAGAGACTCAGCCTGTCCCTTGAAGCTTTGAAGCCAGGCACTGACTTCTGCTCTCCAGTATGAAAGTCCTGGAAGCCATCTTTTCTAATATAAGGCTGTTTTGTCTAGTGTAAATCTGTTTGGTGTAGTCACCTTCATTAATGATCCCAGCCAGGTCTTCTGGGTAACTTACTGCAGCTTCTCCATCAGCACTTGCTGCTTCACCTGCACTTTGATGTTATGGAGATGACTTTTTTCCTTAAACCTCAGGAACCAACCTGCCAGCCTCCAACTTCTTTCTGCAGCTTCCTCGGCTCTCTCAGCCTTCACAGAAAGGAAGAATTAGGGCTTTGCCAGATTAGGCTTTGGCTTAAGGGAATGTTGCTGGTGGTTTGACCTTCTATCCAGACCACTTTCTTCATTATCAGCAACAAGACTGTTTTGCTTTCTTATCATTCCTGTGTTCACTGGAGTAGCATGTTTAATTTCTTTCCAGAACTTTCCTTTGTATTCACATCTTGGCTGTTTGGCTCAAGAGGCCTAGCTTTCAGCCTACCTCAGCTTTCAATGTGCCTTCCTCACGTGCCTTAAGCTTAATCATTTCTGGCTTTTGGTTTAAACTGAGAGACGTGTGACCCTTCCTTTCCCTTGAACACTTAGAGGCCATCATTGGGTTATTAGTTGGCATGATCCCAATACTGTTGTGTCTCAGGGAATAGGGAGGTCTGAGGGGAGAGAGATGAGAAAGAGCTGGCTGGTGGAGAAGTCAGAACTCATACATTATTTATCAGCTAAGCTCACTATCTTATATGGGTGCAGTTTGTGGTGCCCCAAAACAATTACAACAGTAACATTGAAGATCGCTGATCACAGATCACCATAACAAATATAACCATGAAAAAGTCTGAAATATTGTGGGAACTAACAAAGCATGATAGACACAAAGAGTGAGCGAACGCTGTTAGTAAAATGGTGCTGACAGACTTTGCTGCAAACCTTCAGTTTGTAAAAACCACAGTATTTTTGAAGCATAACAAAGTGAAGCACAATAAAACGAGGTATGCCTGTATACAAACAGGCATTCATTTACTCATGCCAGCCCAGTAATGTCATATTGCATAATGTAACATTATTCACCTTATTTTGGCCTTTTCACTTAAAACATGGCTGTACTTTCTTTTATATACTGGAAATGTTCGCCATGACAGGCTTGACCTTTTATGGGTTGAAATAGGTATCTATATTATTTCTGAGAGACTGTCTTTCTTACATTTCAGCATCATATTTGAGATAGGAATAAAAGGCTACTGAAGTAAGGAGTTAATTCACACTATCTTCTTCAGGAGATGAAATTACACGACCAGGGTTTCTCAGCCTCAGCACCACTGACATTTGGAGCCAGGAAATTCTTTGTTGTGAGGGGCTGTGCAAAAGCAATGTGTGATATTCAGCAGCATCTCTGACCTCTAGCCCTCGATGCCAGTGCCCCCCATTCCCATCCAGTTCTGGCCAAAAATGTCCCGAGACATTGCCAGGTATCCCCAGGGGTCAAAATCACCCCCCAACAAACACATCCAGCTGAAAACCACTGAGCCATAGCCCAACACAGATGATAAAGGAAAACCAGCTCCCTAAAGCACTGCTGAATACAAATCAAATTCTGCAGAGAACTTTAATTTTCAGAATTTCATATAAAAAAATCCAGCCATAGGATGATACAACTTAACACCTAGCCAGATTCTTGTGGGAATGCAGAGAAGGATAAGGAAGGCTTTAACAATACTTCACGAAGGTAAACACAGACCCAATACCCTGACTTTGTCAAAAGTATGGTAGAAGATAAATCAGAACATACCAAGGTAGGTGACTGCTTTCCACTGCTTCCAGCAAAAGGGGTGGGAGAAGCTGGGCTTCTGTAAATGAAGTCAAAATTCAAATTTCTCTTAAAACAGCTTGCAGCATATAAACTACAATCACATGGCTCACATACACAACAGTTTATGGATGTATTCGTTTCTCATGTGAGAACTCCAGTGCAGTGGAAAACAAGAACTTGTGTGGATCAGGAAACAAAAGCACAACTGAACTTGGTATTCCCTGAGTAAAAGACAGAGTATGTTCTAGAAAGAAAAGATGACAAGAGTAATTAATCAT